CTTATTAATAGGAGCAGGAACATAGTCGATCCATTTGGAAGTGCAGTCCTGTTGAGATTCCATGCTTGGTTTTATAAGCCTGGCACTGACATATACAAGGGGCTGCATGCAAATAAACCTGCAAGCCATTTTGTTGCCCGGTTTCACTCAGGTATACTGCAAGCCTAAGATCTGCTAAACCAGGGGTTGGCAAACTTTTTCTCCTGAGGGCCACATCAGGGTTCCGAAACTGTATGGAGGGCCGGGTAGGGAAGGCTGTGCCTCCCCAAACAGCCTGGCCCCGCCCCCTATCCACCCCTTCCCACTTCCTGTCCCCCTCAGAGCCCCCAACCCATCCAAGAGGGTAACTTCCAAGCAACGCAGGAGGCAGACCTTTAGACCCCTTGCAGTAGGGAGTCTGGCCAAACCTTTCAGCACAACAGCACTGATGAGGCCTTTGGCACTTAGCCCAACACTGGTTCAGCGCCTTCATCTGGAAGCTGCGCTAGGCACCTGCTGGGAGAGGTGGTGGGCCTGGAAGTACAGCATAAAATTGCTTCACAGTTTGGAAAGTTTCACACTGACCTTAAACCCTGCGACAGCGCCTGACTGTAAATCCGACTCGATGTTGCCTGGATCCAGGTAGGCGATGCTCATGAGAAAACCTGGCCCTGTGAAGGCCCAGAGTTTGCGGAAGCTAAACCATGAGTGCTTTAAAATGGAAGAGAAGATTGAGACGTTAAGACTCCGCTCTGCACCAAAGATTGGCATTGATTCCAAACAAAACAGAGCACAGCCTTCAGGAACCGGCCCATTTTTAAGACAAAAAAATTGGTAAGAGGGGCATACAAGCTTTTTTAGCTGCCAGCGAAACAACCAACCCCTGGCAAGATCTCTTCATTCTCTTATCAGTCTCTCTTTATTTTGAATTCCAAAGTGCAGCCCTTCTTTATTTTGAGACCTTCAGGGTCACCAGCACTTTAGCTGGGGGAGGATATCAAGCTAACTTTGCATGCGATCCTCTGACAAGTGCTGGCTTGCCTGCTCTTTACAGAGAAGACAGCAACTGCATCCCATACAGAGCTCCTTGTGAAGGGCATATGGCTTAGCCATTATGCTGGTGGGCCCAGCTTAGCACGGAAACAGCTATTCTGACTTGCTTTTCTTGGTAAGAGCAAAGCCAATTTCCACCTGGGAATCACACGCTAGACGTCTCTCCAATCTTTAGCAGAAGCAGAAACTGCTGTCCTGGGAAACATAACTAAAGACAGCAATGTGGCTCTGGGGTGAGTGCTACGCCCATCCTCATTAGGAGTGTGCATTCACTTGAAACAGACAAATGCTTGGAAGGTTCTGTAAAAGTCTGCCAACCCGGATAGAGGCAGCAGGAGCAGTGTTTGCTGACCTGTTTACTCTGAATGCAGCAATAGCCATGTGGGTAACTGGCATCCACAGCAGGTAGCGAACCTGGCAGTCACTTGCTTTGTGTTAGTTTGCTGACAGTCACTCATTTTGTTTTAGTTGGGTCACTGAATCCCATGCAAGCACGGCAGACACCTCATCCCCTTCTCAACATAGCTCTCCATAGTTAGAAACAAGCAGCCAGCTCTCCTACCCAATGCCTCAATTTAAACTGAAAAGGGACCCAGCGCCCACAAAGGGAAACAAGTCATCTAGGTTACTACCACTTCTATTAAAGCCATTTCCCCACCAAGGTGAGCTTGCTAAGTCTGGGGCCCAGCCACACTGACCTTTTCATCTTCAGGGATAGGAATCTTCTCATCAAAGTAGGTGGTGAATGGTTCATCATTGGACTCCGGAGACTCCTGCGGGACTGGGCTGCTGTAGACCGTGCTGATGACCTCCTCGTGGTCTTCAGAGACATCTTCTGGATTTACAAAAAGCCACGTGTAAAACAAGGGAGGAGTCACTGTGCTGAAATGATGCTAGGAACGTGGCCGGTTTAAAATGGAACTTGCAAGTGCCATAGGCAAAGCAGAAAGCGAATGTTCTAGCCCCACTGCCATCCCTTGCCAGGATTGGTGGGTAGGCGGTTTTGGGGTTTTTTCAAACATCTGGAGGAATGAAACGTGTGGAGCGGCAAATCCACACGAAGAAGCTACTGCAATGAGACTGGGTTCTCCAGCTCTCGTGTTCACATGCGAGCGAGGCAAGTTTATTTTTTATTTCAAATATTAAGATGCCTGCCCAAGCTCTCGGCACCTTAACAAATCATTACCAATAGAATAAATGAAATTACTACTTCGCTGCTGCTGGGATTTCGCAGTAAGTGCAACTCAGGTGGCCCAACACCTACAGGCACTCCCCTTCCACTCCTTCATTTTAACAAACCTTAGCCCGGTCCAAAAACCCAACCATCTTTTGCCTCATGCCTGGAAGTTCAGTTTAAGCCCCTAGAACAGAGGTGGGCAAACTACGGCCCGTGGGCCACATCCGGCCCGCGGGGCTGTCCTGCCCGGCCCCTGAGCTCCCGGCCGGCCCCGGCCCCTCCCCCCGCAGCCTCAGCTCGCCGTCCTGGCAGTGCAGGGGTGAGGCTGGCTCCGCCGGGTGGCGCAGCTCAGGGGTGAACACAGGGTGCCCTGACAGGGCCCCCCAATAACAGGGGGCCCCAGGGCCGGGCACTCGGGCAGCTCAGCACCGGCACACCCCCCGTGGGGGAGGGAGGGGCTGCACTGTGGGGGCAGGGGAGCAGGCGGGCGGTGCGGGTGGCAGAAGCGTGGGGAACGCGGGCGGAGGACTCAGGGAGGAGCACCGGGTGGCCGCGCAGCTGGACGGAGAGAAGCGGCGCTTTGAAGGGGAAACCGCTGCTTCTCTCCGGCTGCCTCTGCTCGTCCTGAGTCCCCCGCCCATGTTCACAGGGCCACATTCCGAAAGGGGCTGGCGGAGGGGGGAGGGGGGAAAAGGGGGAGGTCCCAAGGGGGCGGTTAGGGGCAGGGGGTCCCGGGAGGGGGAGGTTAGGGGACAAGGAGCAGGGAGGGGTTGGATGGGTTGGGGGTTCTGAGGGGGCAGTCAAGGGGGCAGGAAGTGGGAAGGGGCAGATAGGGGCAGGGGGCCAGGCAGTTTGGGGGGGCACAGACTTCCCTACCTGGCCCTCCATACAGTTTCACAATCCAGATGTTGCCCATCCCTGCCCTAGAAGATGCTGCTAATGCACTGAATTCAGCCTCAGGAAGGCACAATGCACAGTTTGTTAGATCTTTGGAAGGAGTAAGACACATTAAAGGAGACTAGAGGATCATTTTCCCGACTCCCAAGATCCGAGGGAGAGCACACAGCAGACATCCAGTTGTGCTGAACTCTCTGGACAGTATCTAATTTTAGGCTCTAAATCAGGTAAACGGGATCAGTCTCGTGACAGAATTACAACCCCCAACAACTTTGACATCAAGTCCTTTAACTCCATTCCACTCCCCCCAGCACCAGCCGAGAACAAAAATCCATCCCCCATGTTATACTCACTCTGGCTACCACCTCCTGGCATTATGCTTTTGCTTCAGAGGATGAAAAGCAGCATCCAACTTAATCCTGCCTCCTTTACTAAGAGCCAAAGTAACCATTTATAACCAGAGAAGTAAAAGCCAGGTTCGGGCTCTTACAATTGCATCATCAAAGCAAACTGAAGCTGGTTGTTCCTCCTCATTTCCCCGCCTCCTAAATACCTGACCGGCCTGCCAGCAGATCTGTTTATAAAATAGATTTAAAGCAACAGCACCTGTGTGTGTTTCTTTTCTTAGTAGCTTTGGTTGCACAATATCTTGCTCAGCTAGTTCAACCAAACTAAGGAAGTTATATGAACAGTCAATCTGTTGCGTAATGGTGCTGGGAAGTGACAGCCTGAGAACTGGCTTGAGCCACAATTTTCATCCATCTGGAACAGCTAATCTCAAAGGTGTAAGTCATAGCAAAACAGGCCAGCCAGAAAATCTTAGTTCTACCTGTGAGTGACCCAAAGAACCCCTTTACTAACACCCTACAAAGTACCGTAACAATCTTGGTACAAAATATGCCTTGTGAGGTATCATTTGAAACCTACTAATTCCCTGGTCAATAATATGGTGAAATATGGTAGCAACAGGATATGGAAAGTTGTGAATTCCCCCGTATGATGCACATGTTCTGCTCAAAGAGATCAATCCTAAACAAAGGAATGTGTTTACCTCAGTGTACAGATAAGTAGTAAACAGGACCATCAAGACAGCAGGGGAGGAGATGGCAGGAAACAGAACAATCCGCACATTAGCAAACACAATAGGGAGGGAAGAAGGTGAAGGAAGCTCCATGCTCTACCAAACTCCATGTCCCCTTCCTCTGAGCTTGGTGAAACTTTACTTCAGAAGAATCCACCTCAAAGATTCAATAGACTATAAAAGAAAGGGGCAGAGAACCCCAAGTTTTCTCTTTCAGCTAAGCAGAAAAAGGCACCAGCACCTTTAGGCCTCTGGAAGAGATCTTGACTGAGGAGAGGGTCAGTCACCATCTTGCTGGAAAACTAGGGGTGAGAAAGGCCATCTTGAACTAAGCCTTGAACCAAAACTTGCTAGATTAAGTTTTAGACTTTTAGATGCGTGTTTTCACTTTTATTTGCTTGTAACCATTTCTCACTTTATCATATACTTGAGCTCACTTCAAATCCTATCTTCTTTTGTTAATAAACTTGTGTTACTATTAATCGAAACCAACATCGCTGTGTCTGTACTACAGAAGCGGTTTTCAACCTTTTTTCATTTGCGGACCCTTAAAAAATTTTGAATGGAGGTGCAGACCCCTTTGGAAATCTTAGACAGTCTGCGCATCTCCAAGGGTTGAAAAGGTTGTCTCATTAAAAGAGCAAACAGATCTTATTCCTTTGAAGAGGGGTGGAGACTGCAGAGCGCATGAGTCTAGGGAAGTTCGTGACTAGGGGTGTGCTGCGATCACCTCTTAACACTAACCAAGTCTGGTAAAGACAAAACTGGCTGGGATAACTGCTGTCAGGCTGTTGGATTCCAAGTGGTTGAATCAAAGCTGTACAGCACACAAGGAGCATGCTGGCAAGTCCGAGGCAGGGAGCTGCAATACCAGAAGCATTTTGGGACGCTCAGGGCTAAAAGTGAATTGCACCCAACTGTGACACTGTGACTATCCAAAGCAAGTACTGTTCATAACCCAGACCAATGTTACTCTAATTAGACTAAGGAAGCAGGATTTAAAGTTACTGTCTGGTTTCTCCTCTTTTATCCACTGCTTTCACTAACTGGTTCACAGACAAGGAGGACATGACTTAACTGGAAAAACTGTAACCAGACCAGGTGGACAGTCCTATCTGTCTAGAGTTTTGTTACACTCTTTTCATGGAATCTCAAAACCTATTGCTTTCTACTGAAAGTAGCATGCAAATAATGTTGAAGACTGGATTCAGTCAGTCTCCTTCTGATTAAGAGAGGGAAGAATTTGCACTGGGATTTCCAAAGAAGCCTCGTAGAGTTGGGTACCCAAACCCCATGACATTTCAATGGGATATGGCCACCTACTTCCCTTAGGGTCTTAAAAAATCCCAGCCTTGGTTCTCCCATTTTAAGTGGTTTCCAATCTATAACCTTGCCAGTTCACAGGAGAAGGATGGAAATTGCGTGAGGTTAGGAAAGAACTTTGCCTATAACTATTTTGTAATTGTTTATTATGGGAATTCTTGTCTCTTCCTCTAAGGAGTCTGGTACCAATCACTGGCCTGAAACAAAGTATTGAACTAAATGGACAACTGGTCTGATCCTGTATAGCAATTCCTGTGTTCCTAACATGCACACAAGTGTGGAGTGTTACCATATAATATTTTCCGCTCCTTGCCAGGTGCCATGGTGGAAGACCTCTGACTGGAGGGGGAATCCTTAGAATAGGTCACGTTAACTGCAAAAAAGAAGGGAAAAAGGCATAGTTAGGACAAGAACACATCAAACACGGAGACTGCATGAATCAGGGAGAAATAAAATGAGCGGCTACAGTATAGACTATAGAACAAGCAACTTGTAACAGACAGATTACAGCACAACAGCAGCACGCTTAGAATTTATACAGCCCTTCCCCTGCTTTAAAAGGGCTTCACCAAACATTAGAAATAGATGTTTTCATGTGGACCTGATTTACAAAAAGCCTGCTTGAACACAGAAAATAAACCCCTTGGGAACTTAAAACAAGAAGGGGGGCGGGGAGAGTGAGCAGACTACCTAGAGAAACTAATCAACATGGACATTCGTTCTTGCAGTTTCTGGTGCCAGCTCCAAGATTAGTGATGCTTGTGACAGACATTTCAACCCCATCTTTGGGGTCCATTGTTTTAAATGAATGGCTTGTGTGTTCTACTCTGGGGGTTGAGAGAGTAGATAATGTTTTTACCCCTCAGCTCACAGAGAGCCGAGAAGCGACGTACTACAGCTCTTACAAGAACTAAAACCAGCAGGTGGTGATTAAGGCAACTCAACCAGATTGTAAACCCCTCAGAGAAGGATACTACCTCCTGGAGAGGCTCACATATACTAGTTCAAAGTAGATTATCCAGAGACCAACAGATAAAGAAAGCACTTTTGGGTAAACAGCTGTAGTTTAAACTGACTCAAGGCCTTCTTTCTGATCCAGCAAACAGACAGGACCTTCTGTCTAAGGAGGGTCCACAATCCTTCCTGGGAAGGTCTGGAAGGACTTTGGCCTACAGAGGCCCCATAAGACTGATGGGTGACCTCTGGTAAGCTTATTAGCATGCATGTAGTGTTTGGGTTGTTTTTAAATGTTTTCTCTATAATGCTGTTACCTTAAGAAGCAATGTGCTTGCTTATAAAGAGCTCTGTGGTAACTCATAACTGCTGGTCAACATTGTTCACAGCCTTCAAACAGAAAGTAAAGAGCAAACACTGGCCTCTTTAGGCAGTCTGGCTTGCTGGGAATGGTCACAGTGTAGGCAAGGAACGGTGCAGCCTGGAGAAACCCTGGTCAGGAGGGAGAGAGACATGGATCGCCCCCGCAGAGAGTTGACAGCTGAGGACCCAGGAGACTAGAGTGGGTGCCCTTGATGGATCACAGAAGGGAAACACATTCAGCGGTTGCCCTGAATTGTGACACTTACAAACAATGAAACCACAATGTGGAAGCAGGAAAGAATGGAAATTCCTTTATGTGCAACCACACATCCTACACTATGGGGCTGTGGTTTAAGGATTGAGATCGTGTTCATCACCATGCATCAGAATGCTCTTCTAAATGCACTAAAAAGCCAGTCAGGACCACTAAATAGCCAGTCACGACCACTTTCTGTGCCAGAGTCGGGTGCAGAGTTTCAGATGAAAGCATCCCTAAATATTAACATGTCAACTTAAAAAAAATCCCAATGATATATTCAAGTCCCGATAACATCGAAGCATGGTATGTAAAGCACTTAATGTCCTCAAAGCCTGTTATATATTAACAGGGTATTTTTGCTCCTAGGACAATGCCATATATTGGCAATGTTATCTTCCTAAATTCCATCTTAATGTGGGCATACAAGGAAAATGCTAGTTGGATGTTAACATTAAGTGAATTTGTGCCAAAGTTAAGGTGTTCAAAGCATAACTACAGTTCATGCATTCCATTCTGAACAAGCCAGCACAGCTAACACGTAGCTGATGTTTCAAAAAAACACCCCAGACAGACTTCAGCTCATTCACAGCAATTTGCTCAGTTGAAATGGCACCGTTCCTTTTCTGTAGATAAGACAACCCTACTCAAATATCTACTCAAATATGCTCAAGATTTTAAATTGTTTCTTCTAGAACAACAGATTAATGCAGAGTAAACAGTGTTCTGTGAGCTCTATGCACCTCGTGGCGCTCAGTGAAATTTGCTAGTGCCACTTTAGACAAATTAGGAGTTTGCTCTTCACGGGACTATCACGCACATTTGCTCACCTTAGGTGAGGGCCTACAGAAGTTCAGATGGTCTGTTTCAGTGCCTCGAAAAGCACGTCAGATTTCATTTGCTACGTACAAAGGCTGCAATATTTTGGTGCAATGCTTTAGCTTTCACCTGTTCTGCAAGGGAAAAAATAATCCTCCGATGGATCATCACCTCGTCCAACTCTGCAGGCACAAGAGGACCAGACAATTGGTGATCCTAGTTTGAAAGCTATTGTTTTGATACATGTGCAATGCTGACAGACCCCAGTCGGCGGCGGGCGGGATCGAACCTGGGACCTCTGAAGCTTAGTGCTTGGGCTAAAAGCTAACTGGCTATTAGCTAAGGCTGTAGCGCAGACTGACTGACTGATTCTTCTCTCTCTCACTCCTAGATGAGACAGAACACCACACCCAGGAGGTGTGGGGGTTACACATGCCATATACTCTTCTTGTCTTAAAAGCAGCAGAATTCCACAGAGACCCACATCCCTTACAGATATGAATGCTGTCACTACGCGGCATTCTGCTGCGGCAGCTACACTTCTGACCAAGTGTGGTCATTAAAATAGTTAGATGAAATTATCACCTTGATCCAACGATGTGGAAACTACCACAGTCTGCAGCAATTTCAGCAGCACCACCATGATCAAATGATCGGATATAGCATCAGCAAGACTTGATGCCAAAGGGATTCTTTTAGACCAAGGGCACATTAGTTCTGCCTTAGACTTAGTTGCTAGTTTGCATACGCAGTTCCCTCCTAGATGGGCACCCATCTTCAAGGCTAGACAGGGCCGCCCAGAGGGGGGGGCAAGTGGGGCAATTTGCCACAGGCCCTGCAGGGGCCCCCATAAGAATATAATATTCTATAGTATTGCAACTTTTTTTCTATGGAAGGGGCCCCCTGAACCCTGTGGGCGGCCCTGAGGCTAGATCAAAGTTTTACCCATCTTAGTTATGTGAGCATGTGACTTGTCTTTATTGCTCTTTCAAAACAAGAGCTGCAAATGATTTTATACTAGAATCTTAAGCAGCCACCACCGACACAAACTTTCTCTCCATTGATGTATAAAAGCCAGCAACAAATGCAAGCACATTCTACAGAACAGTTTGAAAAACTCAAATACCAAGGGAATTTGCCAGAACAGGGCAGAGAGGCTAAACAGGTGACTGTGTGATATGCAAGTGATCCCAAACTGGCCAGGACTGTTCTGTCTTATAGTGGGTCACTGACTACAACGGATGTGAGCTACCAGAGTACAAGCTTGCCGTTGCGCAGGTAGGTCAGGTCAACCATCCACAGCAGCTGGAGAGAGATCTTGACTGATTTTCTACAGGACCGTAGAGACAGCTTTCAGCATAGTTTACCGTACAGTGGAGGAGATGTAGTCACTAGGAGTAAAGTCTTAGGCTCCTAAGTCACTTAGGTGCTTCTGAAGTACTTTCAAAAGTAATTTAGGCACTTAAAAGCCTAAGTCTTGCTTTCAATGAGTCTTGGGAACTTTTGAAAACGTTATCCATTGCTCTACAGAACCCTATTTACAGAACACAATCCTCACACATCCTCCCTTTGGATTTTAAAGCTTTACAGATTTATTTTTAGAAGCCGTTCTGATGAAACCTTAATTCTAAAACCTAATAGAACAGATTATTCAATACATCGTGTTTCCCTCAAAACAAGTTCCCCAGAAGAAGTTACTTATTTCTGCAGCAAGTTCTCTTAACACCAACCTCAGAGAGGTTAATAAAGGCAAAAGGGAAGATGATCACATGGCAAACATTCGTTAGAGGAAGAAACTGACCTAAATATCTCCTTGCAAAGCACATTTCTCTTTGAGTGTGAGATAAGCCATTTCGCTCCTATCTCTGCTGACAAGCTACAAACCCTGGCCTAGTTTAAACTCTCATGACACATTCATTTACTATGCCTGTCCTCCTTTGTCCAGACAGCAAACGCTTAAGTAGGAGAGCTTGAAAGCATAGTTCACTGACCTCTTACAACATGCTATTCAACACCTGATGCTCGACCATTTCCATTCTTCTGTACTAACAAACCACAATAGGCAGCGCATGAAGGAAACACCTTAAAATAAACTTCTGAGGGAAGTGGTCAATTCTCCGTCTGTTGATGTCAAGATAGGATGCGTTTCTGAAAGGCACATTTTAGTAAATACCAGGGCTCAATATAAAGATAACTAGATAAAGTTCTATTGTCTGTGATACAGGTCAGAATAAAAGATCTGATGGTCTCTTCTGGCTTTAAAAATTTATGAGTTTGATTGGATAAGCCCCTCCAGCCAAATGCTTAGAGCTGTCCTGTGGGTCTCTGCAGAAAGCCATGTGTTTGCCCTCTTGGGTCAGCGTAGTCACTGCAATAATTTGTGGGTTTTATTTTGTGTACGACATTCTAAGTAATGCAACATATCCACATACTGATCACACACAACTCCCTGAAATTAAATCAAAAGGATAGTCAGGCCTGTGAATGCCAATACAACAGGGAAGGCGGTGTCAGATGGACAAGGGCTAAAGAGCTGGCAAGGAAAGATTTAGACCCTGTCGCTCCCCTCAAAAGGAGGAATCCATTTTTGAGGCCGATTACTACATTACACAGCTCAATCAGGCATTTCTGCTTCGGATCATTTTTTATCCCAACTACCTTGCTCTAGAACAGGGGTCGGCAACCTTTCAGAAGTGATGTGCCGAGTCTTCATTTATTCACTCTAATTTAAGGTTTCGCGTGCCAGTAATACATTTTAATGTTTGTAGGAGGTCTCTTTCCATAAGTCTATAATATATAACTAAACTATTGTTATATGTAAAGTAAGTAAGGTTTTTAAAAATGTTTAAGAAGCTTTATTTAAAATTAAATTAAAATGCAGAGCCCTCCGGACCAGTGGCCAGGACTTGGGCAGTGTGTGTGCCTCTGAAAATCAGCTCACACGTGCCATAGGTTGCCTACCCCTGCTCTAGAATATGAAG